TTCCTTTTTTGGGGGGTAGGAGGTGGTGGGGGGTAGGCTGAGGGCGCCTTAATTCGTAATGTGACTGTATATCCAAAATCCACGTTCCGCCACCCCCTTGGAACTAGAGCATGCTGCTGTTCTACCCTCGTTGTGGCGGTCTATCGGCTCGGCCACTGATAAATCGGTGCCAGGTGGTGACGATGAGCAGTGGTTCTGTGGTGCCCGACGTACTATAAGTCTTGGAGGTGCCAAATTGAAATTGAAACATGGATGGAACGAGGAGACCCCAGCGGGGTTCTAAGCTGCCATGTCACCAGATTCTGGTGACGGCGTCCCAAATTTGGCAGGCGGTCACAATACGCTGGTGACCGCTAGGCAGCTCACCTAAACGCGTGCGGTATTCGTCTCTTTACCTCTGTACCACCACCGTTTCTCGCCTTTTCCGTAATTTATTCGCGTTCCCTACTACTTTATGTCCATTTAATACGCCCGACATGAGCCTCCCTAACGACGATAACGAAACCCTGCACGCCCTGACGCCAGGCACGAACACACCCGCCGCATCAACGGCGTCAAACGCCGACGTTCTCCTTCCATCAACACCACCTTCATCTGCCGACGTCCCAATCGACCCCCAGCTTCTCCATGCCGACTTCTTTCCTGCTCGAAAACCCGATGGCAGTCTGGTCTCGGAAGAAGCGTACAAAGCCCACCTGTAAGTCCCTCGCCTACTGTAATCAACGTCCCTGGATATCTCATCTTGCCTTCAGCTTCACCATCAGAAAGAGAGAGCCCCTGCGGGCGGCATGCTCTCATTTCAAGATTCGTTTCGCAACGCGAGCCAACCTAGAGTTTTTGCGGAACGCCCTTGTCCGCCACTGGTACGTATGCTCCTTGACTCCGCTTTTGATTTTTCTTTACAAGTCGCTTCACAGGTATCCAGCACGAGCAACTACAAACCCCTCGCCTGATCACGCTGTGGCTGGTCCATCGAAAACACTTTCCATCGTCATCCCCCCACGCCCAGCTCACTCTGTAGG